AGCATCCACTGGAAGGAATCCCAATATCTGCAGACGGATCCGTTTCGGCCTTCCATGCCTCATCAGTGCAGCTATAGGGTACAGACCCAAACGAAACGTTCGACCAGCTTAGGTAGGGCCCAAACTAGTCCCACGACCACTAATGATTACAGAGCCAAACCAAGGCAATATATATACACAGCCCTATATACACAGCCCAGGTGTGAATGCAAATACTGTAGTGGAATACAAGCTATGCGGCTCGGTTCCAGTAGGCCTAGATACAAAGAATATTTTGTCATTCTTAACGCGTCCTACAAAATTCTTACGAGACTCTCTCTCTCATGAAACAGTCTGCCTGAGTCTTTCAATCCAGCGTTCTATGTTTTATTTGTCTATACTGCCCTGCTATATATACACCGAAAACGCCTAGTTTCACGCTGAACACATACAGGGCGTAACGCTTATGAGTTCTCGGGGGCGTAACACCGGATCCCCCAGTAAAATGGGCCCTGGAGGACCGTCCTACTAGTTAACAGCACTCTCCTAACAGAACATTGGTGTTATGGTCCAGTAGGAAACACCTAAAAATAAGTGCACTCACGTAACACTTCATACATTATCAATTCCCGACCCAAAATGCCTTCCACAGCCGGGCTCTACTACAAACTGACATTTAATTAAATAATCAAAAATAACGAAGTAGTGCCTAAACAGCTACTGGAATTCACAAAGAATTCGAATTAGAGTAATATAACACACGTTGAGTTCGGTATTGTTTGATGTTACACTGTAAAAGGGCCCCTCGTAATTAACTAAAATTCATGGGTCCGAACACTTTCCCGGCCCTGGGTCCGTGATTCATCGAAGTGCAGCAGCTGGGATATTTGGCCTACAATTACTCGTCCTCTACAACTCCTCTCAATGGGAATACTCTGTTGACCCTCGTTTCGTTATTTCTTAAACAGTACATTAAACGAAGAAAACAAATCGTAAATTCTTCTCTTCCCGGACAATTTCAAAATTGTGTTCAAAAGCACAAGGACAAATCTTGAGAAATGGGAATTTACTATCCCCTGTGTATTGTATTTCCGCGTATTTTACAATGAATATTACACGCTACAACAAATAACATTAAAGATAATGAAAAAAACAAACCTAAGCCTATATATTTGATTAAGTTTTATATATAAAAATACAAATATAAATAATGACCTAAATAATAGAAGTCTTTGTTAGGTATATGTGTTTATAGGCCTACTCAACCATCATAGGCCTATATAGAACTCTTTGTCTCTTTTTGTCTTAACAGATTAAACATTTTTTAAATAATCAATTCATATTTTTTAAGGGTTTGATTTATGTTTACAGTTAGAAAGTTTGCAATCCGGGTAACCTCATCTCACCATACTTCCGTATCAGGCCTACCTGTTCATCTCATATCTATTATTCAATTCAAAAATCTCTCATACACCCGATAGTCGTATATCATACTTACAACTCCCAGTGGAGCATTCAGCCAATTACAGTCCCACACTAGGGTTAGAGGGTTCTTGTGAATGTCAATTGAGTTAAAATGTAGTAGTAAACCACACAATCAAACCAAGGAGGTATAACATATTCTTTATACCTCCTTGACCAAATTATGACAAATACCTGTGGTATACCCATATATGGGTATGATACGGCATCATTATTTCCATATATGGGGGTGATAGGGTATTATCCTGCCCGTGGACAATTTACACAAATGTGTTACATAAGAGTATATTAATCATGTATCGATGAGAAGAAGGCATAGCACTCTTATTTATAAATAGGAAGGACTTACAACATTTGGAAGCAAATCTAGCAACCAAATAATTTGATCTGTTTCCGTGTTAGCCTATTTTCTATTATTAATTTTGTGAAAATCGGTGCTATTATAGGAACTACCGTATGTGGGACGGGGGGGGGGGACAGCGTTAATGATGTTCGGTAGGCCTATATACTTTATTTTAGTTCGTGTAACTGTGTAACTTCACATGGTGAGATTGATCAAGCAATATATTAGTGCTACAAAGGTACTTTATACACGTTACTGTAGGCCTACTCGATTCATGATTGTCTATTAACAATGTGTTACCTGAAGAAATCTCTTTATTAAGTCTACTAGAAATTTCAGCTGGATTGAACATTATTTATAACTATAAAAAAAATGTTAGATAAAATGGATGTATGGTTTTTTAACTAAATCTTTTTTTTTTTCTTCTTTTTTTGTAGATTATGCTTTTTGTAACTAGATTTGCTCAAGGTCGGTTGCGAATACCGATTAATATATCAAACACCATCCCTGCTGTTCGACGGACTTGTAATGCTTACAGTTACATTGGCCTATTATTCAATAAAGTATCGACTTGACTTTCAAAGAAAACAGTTACAAAGCTGCAATCACTTAAAGTTAATACACCGTATACGGACACAGAACGCGTAAATAGGAAGAAATACGCCTATCAAAGTGCCTATTTCGCACTTCAAGAGCTCTTGAGTACTCCCCGTTGGTTGCCATTTGCCAAAAATCATAATCCAATATTACAAGGACATAGAATCGTGTGAAATAATACCATCCGGTTTGAGTTATATTTCGATGAATGAAGTTCCGAGTCGTATAATTTTGCGCATTAACACAAAAAGGCAAGTAAATAATGGGTGTGTGGGCGGACCGTTCCGTTTCAATAACAAATGTTCGTCATTTGTACATGTACGTTAAGTTTGGGTAGGCCAGATTGGAAGAGATAAGTTAGTTAGAAAGGTGGTAATTATAAATGATTAATATAATGATGAAGTGATAAATATTAATTACTATGATAATAATAAGGAAAATGATGATATTGGTTACAATAATAGTATAATACCGTACCTGATATTATTATAACAAGTAGTTACAGTTATGACATTATTTTGCCGTACTTTCACTTACAAACTTAAATATTAATGGGCTACTTAATTAGGATTTTAAGTTCAAAGGTCCTATTAATTAAGTAGATAAGTCATATTCGAAGTGATTAGTTTCTCCCATTGTATATAATATAACACCATGTAGGCCTATTTCTGTTGTGTTTATTGTTATTGTGTTTTGTGGATAATAGCCCTTGATAGTTGATGAAGCATTAAATGAGACTTGAATGATAGTGATAATCCGTATCATAGGTAACACCATTTAGGCATATCGAAAAAAAAGTAGGTGTAAATAGACCTAAATACTGTTTTACACACGAACATATATATAT